TTGATGCGCTTTCGCCTGCAGTGCGAACGTAGCCTTAGAGAATGATTTACATCCATAAGCAGTTAGAAGATATTACCTATGTACATATGTGCAAAATTACTAAGTTAAAAAGTCAAATATTTGCTTTTGTAAAGACAATTTGTTTTCACAAGGTGCAAACCAACAGCTGGAATCCTGAAACTGCTCCTACTTGGTTTTTTGTTTTTTAAAAGTTGTTCCTTATTTTCATCATTTCCGAGCAGGACTTCTGGTCCAATAACGCAGCAGTCTAACAATATAAATTATACATGACCAGCACATTTTAAAGGCAAAATACACGTACCATTTTTTTTAAAACTTGAAACAGTGTAAACTTTGATAGCTTATCATCTTCGAACGTAAAATTACACTTTACATTCTGATCATTGTGTAAAGATCTTTACATCCCTGCACTGCTTCTCAAATTACAAACAACTCCATTTAAAAAATATGATCTTTAGTATCAAAGCATCAAGTGAAGTGTCTTAAAATTTCCCATAGTTCAAATGTGAACCTACAGACTGCCGCTTTCCTTAGTGTAACGTGGTCACGTTTGTGTAAAAACACTGCAGGGGAAATGCTTTTAAACTAGATTAAAGGGATTTCAGCACAACTTAAAATTAACCTGCTAAGACCCGAACTCTTTCATGGCATGCATTTTTAATTTCTGTTTGCTATTTGAGCTGATTGGGAAAAATTTTGTATTGTGGTCTAGACAACCCAAAATGTGATGTCCACATATGTGGACGCCAGGTCCTACGAGTTTAAGATCAAAAGTTAACTGGAAGTCATAGAACTGAACCTAAAACCAGGAATGACGGGATTTAAAACTTCAAGTGATCCGGAAAAAAATGTCATAGTGCAATTCCAATAACGTCAAGTTAAAATTCATCACATGACCCAGCCCTCTATTTATGCTTTGTTGTGTTGTTTTAAATAAAAAACTGAAATTGTTTCATTCTAAAAACGCACAAACTAATTTTAAAAGTCAGATTTTTGGAAGCATCTTAGTCGAGTCAATTATCTTTTTTCCTTGAAGACTAAAACTGATGAATCCACTCAGGCCTGATGTTCCCACACTGATTAAACACACTGCTCTGTGCCGATCGTCATCTTTGAAAGGTGTTGTGTTTTTAGGGGATATTCTTATTTTTGCGTTAGCTGTTCCCACCCAGTGAGCCTCTTCTCATCAGACTCTGAGTGCTGGAGCTCAGGCCTCGAGTATCCGTCAGCTGACTCGACTGATCAACAAAAACACAAAATGTGTGTTAAGAGGTGACGTTTATCTTAAATGTGCATGAGATGCTTGCAGATTTCTGGTTTTCAGACTGTATGGTTAACAGTCTGCTCACCTCGCTGCCATCCTGACGTTCTCTGACGCCAACGTTCAAAACATTCAGAGAGTTTGCCCTCTTCATCCTGAAAACGGGGCAGAACAAACTGTCCATCAGGTGGCTTTTCAGCATTCAGCTGGAGCTAAAACACCTTGTTTACAGAATATTACCCAGCATTCCTTGGGGTTGTTTCCTCCATTCCGACTCCTTTCAGCTTTCGGACCAGTTTCTCGCTGCTTCGCCTGATCGACTCTCTGAGTTTGGTGAAGGAGCCACTGCGCTTAAGTCCGTCCTGTGTGGACCCGCCGTCCTCCACCACGCCGGACCAGCTGGGACGCCCGTCACCTGGACAACAGACATAAAACAAGCAATTGTTTATATTGAAAT